GACCAGGGATCATGAACACACAAGAAAAGCTGGGAAGAAATAGGGATCATTTAGAAGATTGAAGAGGAATACAGGAGTCTCAGGAAAGAAAGTCTTCCCCAGAAAGGGCAGGATTTGTCTGTTCTTGATGTTAATAGAGGCTTACAGTGCTGTGACAGAGGTGAGGTTAGACCTCAAAAAAGGTTTACCTTAAGCCAGTTAATCAGTGGAATAGATTGCCTAGACAGTGGGGAAAGTCTACTGCTGGTAGTCTTTAAAAACAGGTGGAACAGGAACTGGAACACATGAAGGTGGAGCTGACCCTGTCTCACAACAGGGGTCTCTATTAGAGAGAATATTCACTCCAGGATTGTCTTTTCACAGTCACTTGGTTCACTGCAGTCCTGCCCTGGCCTCACCTTTACATCTGTATTTAGCTTTCAGCTCATTCCTAAAGCTTCAGCCACCCTTATACTCAAGAAATCACATGGAATGATACAATGAGCTGGAGTATACTCCTATTCTGCATGTGCATATCATCTTCTTTCACTTGCATCTTCCTTGTATTTTAGGGAACACACACCATACTGTGTGCATGCACATGTACTTTGAAGCACAAGAAGGTTTCATTCCTGACTAGCCTTAAAATGCCCCCAAAATAAATGTTTGGTAACACTTGCTTTTTGATCAGTACACCTCATCATGCCATCTCATGGTTATGATGCAGCTGGCAATAGCTGAGACTGTACAGTATAGAGAGGTGACACATTTCTTTCTAAAATAAAAGTATGAGTAAATATCTAAGAGCAACACTAACCTACATTATGTCATCAGTTTTGAAGAGGAAATGACTCCACAGATTAATGAGGAATTCTGCATAGAAGTCAAAGGTATGATGTAGTCTTATAACATTAATCAAAAGCTAAGTACAATCTGACCTACTTCAAACAGCCCAGCCTTTAATAGAGACAAGCTAAAAAGGCAGAGTAGCAAGAGTTCGTATTTATCTCCGGTGTAACACCAACAAAGCCAACAAAATTCCTTGAAGTTCACTGTGCCTCAGAGCACCACATGGCAAGGGCTGCAGGTCATCCTGTAATCTGCAAGGTATGATGGATGGAAAAAGCAATGCCATTTTCCGCTCCTATTTAGGAAACATTGTACTCAGAAATAACATAGCACAGGACTATATCTCAGAAAAATATCTTTTTATTATCATGCAACAATGAATGTATCAATTCACTAACCAATTTTAAAATTCAGACATGAACATACTCCAGGAAATCCTCTGGAATGAAGAAATCACAAGGTTTCCCAGGAAAATTGATCTATACTGTACCTAGCAAACAAAATTATGTTGTAAATAACACATAAGTAAACATTAAGTATTATATACAACTTTCTTGAAAGGCAATAATTAAATAGGTTATACTTTATTTTTTAAAAATTCTAAAATTATATCATTCATCCATCTGTTCAAGTAATCCTTACCATATAGATCCCCAGAGATAGTGATTCCCTCTTCCTTAGCTGACACCAAACACGATAGACCCCCCTGAAGGTACGTTGTAAAGAGACAGACATTAATAGATAATGACTGGGAACAGAGCACATAAATACCTTTTAAAAAATTAACAAACCTGGATTTCCTTGGACACATGAGCAGTAAGAAGAAATCACCTAGCATCTTTTAGAAAATGTGTCTAAAAATTTCTCACTTGCAACCTGCTTCTGGCTTCACACTCCATGACAAGGGCCACTATTTAATTGTGATGATGAGGGGTCTTCCCTCTGGCCAAAGTTTTTAGCAACTGATGGTGCTTCACATTTAGCAGTTTCAGTCACTCTGTTCAGCATATCTAACCCAAGCTCTGCACTTCCAGAAGAACAAGACCCTTGCCAACAACTGGAAATTCAGCAGTCCCAGGGAGGGGGGAACTAAAGGAGCTGTTAATTTCCCACTATTTCCAGCACAGGACTGTGTCACCCTGTTTACATCATGCATCATTCATCTGCTGTGATGAAATGCAACCCTGTGTTTTAAAAAAAGACCGCTGCAACAGTGAGGATACTATATCTTTGTGAGAAGTGTTTCACATATTTTCCATGGGCATCAACTGCTCCTGCTTCTATTTAAATCTGTGTGGTGCTCTTCAGACAGCATTATTCACTTCAGGAAGACCATTCAGAAGGTGCTGAGCATAAGAAGGGGAAAAGCCAGCATGGCAGCAGACAGCGACATGGCTCCTGAAGAAAAGCTGAGACCTGCTCCTGTGAGAAGGGCTGTCCACAAGATCCGAATGGCCAGCCAAGTCTTCAGCTTGGCACGAGGTTGGCAGCAATGGGTGTCTGACCACAATGTAAAGCAAGAGAAAGAGCCCTCTGGATGGGTCCCCCATACAGAAGACTCATCAGCTCAGCCTGTGCAAGGAAGTTCCTTTGAAAAATGCCAAATTCCATCTGTCAAGAGGGACCAAGGAAAAGATGATGAAAAATCCTCAGCAAAGGAATCACTGACAATAAGACAAGCTGAAAAAAATTCAAGGGAATCAGATGAAGCCCTTAAAATGTTCAACATTAAAAGCAAAGAGGTGACCAAAACAGTTGTCAGTAAAGCCTATGAAAGGGGAGGTGATGTCAGTCTTCTTAGTGAAAGATATGAGAATAACAACAGCAGCTCAGAGATGACCAAGCTTAAAGAAGAATCAAGTGCTATTGACAAAATTCTCAGTGGCAAATTATCTCCAACCATAAGGAGAAAATGTTCAAACGTGGTATCAGAGCTCACCAAGGGCTGGGAACAGATGGAACAAGAGGACAAAGAGGGGACTAAGGAAGAGCTGCTGCTTAAGTGTCAGGATGATAGCCTGGATGCACAGGACAGTGGTTATGGGGAAGCAGAGGACAAACCTGAGCAGGAAGACAGTGATGCAGATGTGATGGCTGTGAGGATTAAACGACCTGCACCATCTCTGTAAGTAAAGCATCTTTATTACATTACCGTGAACAGCAGAGAGATACAGATTTCCATGAGAAAGATGGGGGGAAGGGGTTGGGGGAATGGTAGCAAAGGGTCAAAGGTAAATGAATACTCTTGAAATGAAAAAAGTAAAAATCCAGGTAACCTCTCACATATCTCTCTGTGCTTAAGCAGTTAGTCAACAACACCTGACTGTAACCTAGGGTTTTATGTGCTATGCTGTACAGAATCAGGAAGTTATATTTGGGAAATGTTAAGTATATTTAATTTTCATGCTGGATTTACTGGTTCATCAAACTAATGACTTATCAGAATAACAATTTTTACCTATCAAGAGCCCTCAGCTGTTTATTTTAGCAAAAGTTATCTAAAACAATATATTTGACAAGTAATGTTTCCAAATACTTATTCACTATTTTGAGAAGTATAGATTGTAAGTATTCTCAGGAGCAATTTGCAGAGAATATCCAAAATTAACTTTGCAGGAATTATTTCTAAGCAAACCTTACAAAAAACCTGGGTTCGCTGCTTCTCTTTGGAAGCTTTCCATGGATTTAGAATTCATCAGTCCAAAGAAGGGAAACTTTCATGGGATTTGGGACTCCAAACATACATTAGAAAGCATCCAGCCTGCCTCAGCATCTGCAGAATTGATTTGAATTGTGCAGTATGTTACAAATCATTTGACAAAAAGAACATTAGATTCTTCAATGTCAAGGTCTCTCTTTGCATGCACTACCATATGGGGTGAGGAAGTAAATTCATTGAATATGTTGTGGAAGTAGAAGTTCCTGACATACAGACTTCCTTATGCCTGTAAACTGTGTGAAGAAAAAGAAAGAAGAATCTGTTACTTACCTACAGCTATTATAAGTTATACTTAAATATTTGAATTAAGTGGTAAATGCATAGCATGAGACAGTTTTGAGTAAGAATTCTTTCAGTAAGAGTCTTGTGCTTGAAGATCACTACACAACAGCAGGCACATATTAAATTTGGAGCCCAGATGGTAAACAAGCAGTGTTCAGCCATAGCCATGCAATCCTTGGGAAGTCTCCAAGAAGAGCAGACGAACAGCCGAGTGTGGTAGAAATTCCCGGTTTTCATTCCCAGAAATCTCCAGCAGAACTACCTTTCCAGAAGACAGCTACAATAGCTGTGCTGTGGCCACATTTGCCAATGGGAAGATGCCAAAATAATTCATCTCTCTTTTGTCAGCAAAAGAATAAAAGATCCAATATGACCAATACTGCAAGATGGAAAACTCAATGCAGCCATTTATAGGCATAGATCACTGCATTTTCCAGCTTGGTAATGCTGTGGAACAAAGACAGCAGAAAGGAATGTGTGGTTGAACTTGATCTGTTTTGATGTGAAACCCCACAGCTGCAAAATTGTGATGAAGAAGAGCCCAGCCCCTGAGGCCAGTGCTGCTGACCTGCAGCTAAGGTGCAACCCATGTGCTGCCCACTGGCTTTGCTAGGCAGGGAGGACAGCAGGAGGGGAAACAAATCTAGGCAGGGCTTGGCTGAGCTCATCTGCCCAAGCCCACAGAAGGGAAAAGGCTGGCACCAGAACAGAGGTTCCTACCAGGAGCCATCCTGTGGTGGAGCTTCTACTCTATCATCCACACAAACGCAATGTGAGCTGAGAAAGAGGCAATTTGAGACAAAAAGTCAGGGCTTTCACACAGCCAATTAGCCTGTGGTCAGAGGGTGAGTAATGCAGCAG